AGTCTGATGGGCGGGTGTTTGACATTGGGATTTTGCTTGCTAGATTCTTTCCTATGGTGGAGAAAAAAACATTGAATCTGTTTGCTGTTTCAGTTGGTGAGAGTTGCCTCTTACCATAACCTTTGTCACCAGTTTGTGTAACAGTCAGTCTTCTGTGTGTTGTATGTTGTAGATGTTAATGTCTAGAGCAAACCAAAGTGTCATTATAAGTTTCTTTCTCCATTGTGTGGGTTATTTGTGTTATACTGTAGATATTTTGTCAGTCTAGGAATATTCAGTCCTATCGTGTTTCTCCTTTTTCTTGATCTCTGCGAGTCTGTCATGAGTCCCTGTTAATGAGGCATGATTCGTCATTCTTAAAACATGCCGGTGTTGTGTAATAAAGTCTTTTTTCAGTGTTTCAGAGATAATCATTATTGTCAAGAATAATAACTGGTTGAACAAATGTTAAAAGACTTCTGGAGAGCCTTTAAAATATTAGTTGTGTGTATGTATGCTTTACATAAGCTAGCTTACAGAGTTTCTGAGGCTATGAAAACTCAACATGAGCATATGTTGAGTTTGTTTGTTCTTGTGTACATATATAAGTAATTCAGGAAGTTGTTAATTGTTCACAGGTCAAACTTAATTCATTTATTATGATTAGTCTGCTCGAAATGCTCCGGCATGATTGTGACTTTCTTTGTACTTAACCAATCAAAATTGTAATCACACATTGTGAACACTGCAGAGAAATAAAATCTTCATCTTTTAACTACATGGCACAAAATGAGACATACTTGACCTCAGTATATTTCTCAGTTAATTTTTTTTTATATTGTACTGCAGTGACAGACTATTTTGCTAAAATATTTCACAGTAAAGTAATAGACAAAAAATAAAACATTTTAATTTTGTGTTTATACAGTCAGTCCACAAATTCCCAGGAGGTATGTATCTAATTCACTAAATTCAATCATCTGATGTGTTACCAGTGTATTACCCACAAATGGATTATATTTGTTGCATTTGTTGTGGCAGCTATTTTCCTGGGGGGCTTGATGCACATATCAAATAAAAAAAATAAAAACTTTATTTCTTTACAAAGGTTACAATGTGTGTTTACATTTCATAATTTGGTTGGTACAAAGAAAGCCACCATCATGCCGAGGCATTTCGGGCAGACTTAACCTAATACTTAAAGACTAATACTTAAGTCTAGACAGATGAAGAGTGGTAGATTACAAATACATTCAGTATTTTACTCAATTATTATTATGAAGTAGTACAATTTATGATACAAATATACATTTTTTAAGTTTGTAATTAAGTTTGTTTATTATTAATACATGTGTATGAGGCATAGGATGTCATTCAGAATGTGCTCAATGGAATAGAAATAATTATAGGTTAATGTTTGTTTCATAATGTTGAGTGAGGTGCCCGGGTATAAAAAGATCTGAGATGTGTGAGTGGTGCTGACAAGAACATAAATAAAGGAGACCTTAATTCGAGTGATGAAAGACTAAAATAAAATCAAACATGATCTTTGTATTTCCATGAAGTACAATGTGAAGTACAGGGTTTTACAATGATGACTTATAGAGAGAAGCCCCTACTTGTGAAATGCAAATCATCTAGATATCAAGGCATATTTCCACATATTCTTGCAAATAATTCAAAGTCTAAAAGTCAAGCAGGTCACAACAAAGTGACTAACTAGCCCATGGGTAACCAACACCACCTTCACATACTGTAATACAAATATAAAAACATGCCTGTGAGAAACAATACAGAATGCGATTAACATATATGGAAAGTATAGTTTATAAATAATGCAAATAAATTACAAAATTCCATATATGTAACAAGTATTTTGCTAGTTTTTTAAACAGAACAAAATGCAGAATTATGGACTTTTATTCATTTGTTTGATAATTGTATAGCGTTTGTCCAGAATTGCCGAAATCTGTTAATGAGAGGTCCGTTAGTGAGAGGTTTTACTGAAGTCATATATTGTTTATTAATGCATCCACGAATAAGTAGTTTTTATGCAAATAACAATACTGCAACTAGCCAGAGGTCAAGCCCCCAATACTTTAGCATGCCTCCCAAGAAGCCTACCAAATTCTGAGATGCCTTAGTTCACTCGGCCATCAGTGCTTCAAACATCAGGTACCCAGCACTGGTGAAACATTAAGCAGGTTTCCTTACACCTACTGCTCCTATTCACCTAGCAGCAAGTAGGTGCTGTACTTGGGGTGTTAGTTGACTGTTGTGGGTCACATCATGAGGGATAAGATTACAGAATCCCAATGTAAGTAAACCTACAGTCCCTGATGATGCATGGACTTTACTGGGTCATCTTTGGTGGCTAACTCTCTGGGTTAAAAATACCAAAGAAAATCTTACCTCATCATTAGTAAGACCATCAAAATAAAGTGGCTGGAACAGTTCATAGCTATCCCACAGTTAAGCTTCCCCTCCAAATTGTGGGTAGGTTGGTACCAGTGAAAAAGATACAGTTGCAAAGAGGAACTTTTGGTTTTAAAGTGGAACAGAGAGAAACTTTTAGTTGCAAAGTGTAATAAAGAGGAACTTTTAGTTGCAAAGTGAAACAAAGTAGAACTTTTAGTTGCAAAAGTGGAACAAAGAAGAACTTTTAGTTGCAAAGTATAATAATATAATAATACAGTAGACCGTCATTTAACACTGTAGCTACGTTCCTGAAAACGCCGTGTTAGGCAAAACCATGTTAGACAAACTGAAGATTTTATGGGAAAATAGGGTTACGTTCCTGGGAGCCCCCAAAAAGCCAGGCAACTTTTTTTTTAGACCAACAGATCTTACAAAAATGAATATGTAATTGTAGTTCATTGTCATGATGTATTATGTTGTTTTTACTGCATAAAATTACAAATACAACAGAAATAATAGTATTTTTTACCTTAAATTGTGGGTGCTGGTGTTTGTGGATGATTGTGGAGAGAGTGGAGAGTTATGTTGTGGCCCTACTGGGCTGAGGTGGATGGTAGAGGCACTAGTACTGAAGTCGATGGATGTACTGGAGTGTGCATAAATTCTGTTAGGGATTTCTGTTGTATTTTACCCTACAGTACATTATATAATTTATGGTAAGGCATCAGCTGCTCTAGACACCGTTTCAGGGTCCTCTTCAGTGAAAAAGTCTAACTTTAAGTCATTCAATAAGTCAGTCAAGTCATTCAGTCAAGTCAGTCAGTAAGCCAGTCAGTCAAGTTAGTAAGTCAGTCAGTCAGTCAGTCAAGTTAGTAAGTCATTGTCAAGTCAGTAAGTCAGTCAAGTCATTCATTCAGTAAGTCATTCGGTCAGTCAAGTCAGTCAGTAAGTCAGTCAGTCAAGTCAGTCAGTGAGTCATCACACAAACTCATATTTATCTCATTCTTTTTGTGTACAAAATAATGCTTCATTCCAGCTACAGGCTCGAATGAAGCGTCTAATGTCTCTATTTTCTTCGTTAATTCTAAGAATTAAATGCTTAAACCTCTTCTTGCAGCTTTCAGCAACACTTGTTTGCCTACTGGGTGCCATGATTGCTTGGCAGATTTAAGATATAGCAATTAATATGTATCTAAACAAACACAGCGAGCTACTGGCACAGGTTCGTCCAACACACGTATGAATCAAACTGAAGGCTGGGAGGGTGGTGGGGGTGGCTCATGCTGCTGGGGGATGGTGGTAGCCCATTCTGCCCTGCGGGCAAACGCGCGCTCAAAATTTTTCCCCCCCCCACAACTGTGTTAAATTAATTTTGCGAAGTGTTAAACAAAAATATGCTGCAATTTTTCAGTTGTGCTATAACCAAAATGTGCCAGGCAAAACTGTGTTAAATGACAGTCTACTGTATCCTTATTTCTACAAGTAGTTGTACAAGGTATACAGGCCTAGCTGACATCAGTTGTATACTACTGAGCACTTCAGGCAAATTAGGTCAATTTTGTCCCAGAATGTGACCCACACCAGTCAACTAACACCCAGGTACCAATTTTACTGATGGGGAACATAGACAACTGGTGTAAGGAAATTCCCAATGTTTCTACCCTCGCCAGGAATCGAACCCGGACACTCACCGTGTGAAGCAAGAGCTTTAGCCATCAGGCCACTGGGCACTGTGGAACAAAGAGGACCTTTTAGTTGCAAAGTGGAACAAAGAGGAACTTTTAGTTGCAAAATGGAACAAAGAGGAACTTTTAGTTGCAAAGTGGAACAAAAAGGAACTTTTAGTTGCAAAGTGGAACATAGAGGAACTTTTAGTTGCAAAGTAGAACAAAGAAGAACTTTTAGTTACAAAGTGAAATGCATTTGCTCAATTTCCACAGGCAGAATATCTCAGTAAAGTTCCTCTCTTCAATTGTGTCTTTTTCACACGCTGGTTTCATTCCAGTTGTCTCGTATGAGGTTCGAACTGTGAACCCATATTATTTTCTTATACGTAATAGTACTGTATATACAGGTTTCTTTTTCTTTATGTAGGTTTGTTTTACGTGAATTTGTTTTTATATAATGTCCTGTGTCTGTTGGTATGTGCGATATATATTAGCAACATGTAGTTAGTGAGGCTCACAAAGTGTATTAAAGATTGAGCTTAATACAGCTAATGTATTAGGCTTAATACAGGGTGACCCAATAAAAAGAAGAAACATAAGTTTTTCTTGTTTTTACATTTTGTAATGTATACAGGAGTAGGGGTTACTAGCCCCTTGTTCCCTGCATTTTAGTCGCCTCGTATGACATGCATGGCTTACGGAGGAAGGATTCTTCTCTACTTCCTTCTTTCATTATTATTATTACATTATATTTAGATGAAGTCCTTTACCCATGCGAGTCATTTACCCAGGGACACCTGTAGTACAGTGCTGTACTATTCTGTACTTGATATAAGCAGTATTAATGATTTATTTTACTGTATTCACAAGTATAAACGTAGAGGTGCAAAGAATTTTGTATCTAATTGTTTTTTAAACATTTTCTTTGGTGTGCAGCATCCATCATGGCAATGGGGAGTGGCGGCACAGGCGTCAACACCATCAAGATGGAGAACCCAACATATTACACAACTTATACGTCCCCCGTACCTGACCACACACTCATGGCTGGCGCATACAGCACCTACATGGAGCGAGCTGACAGTATGACTCTTTTGTTTTCACATTCTAATACTTGCCTGTCTTCAGACATAATTATTCTAATACTATTAAGTTTAGCCAGAAGGCAAGTCATTAGTGTTGGTATTTTGAGGCCATAAATGACTCAGTTATGATTGTGACTAGATAGAGGCACTTCTCACTTAACAACTGAGCTCCAAGAGTAGTAAGACTCTTGAAACTTGTCAAACGTAAGGTATATTTTCTCTTCTTCCTCTTCCAAGTGCCGCTGTGCTTTCAACTATTAAATCTTCATTAGTTAACTCTCTCTCAACATATTCCACTAATTCTTCAGTATGTTCCACTTTGACCGACTGGTTGGAAAGCTGGTCGTAAGTCCATGCGGTCATTAACCCTTAAACGGTCCAAACATATATATACTTTCTCTTGCGCAGCGCCCCGAATGTTTTGAAAAAAAAAAAATTATAGGAAATAAGAGCACATTTTTTTAAGTGTTTTAGAATACAAAAAAATTAGGGTCAGTACTTACCTAGATATGAGGCCGAGAAGTTGGCACTGGATGCTCACCTGACAGCAACATGGAGTCCTGCAACTTGCAGAAGTGTTGCCAATATACCTTTTTTTCTATTTTTCATATTATTTTATATAATTTTTATGTTCTGATAATTACAATTTATACTAATTCTTGTCATTTCATAGCCAATCTTTGTTCTGACACTAGTATTAAGTACTGAAATTGTACTCAGATTGTCACAAACACACTGACAGGTGGACATTTACACCTGCCTTGGTCATTTACTATTGTCTTGGAATATATACAAAGTATTTATATGTCCCAGCAATGTTTTGGATATGTGGAAGTATATAATAATAATGAGGAGGAGGAGGAGAAGGAGGAGTAGAAGAATACATAATAATAATAATAATAGATAATAACAAGTTCCCTTGAAGCACGAAAAACAAAGTCCACCCCTGACAGTGACATGATAAGATAAGATAACATTTGATAAGAGCTGAGGTTTGATGAGCATACACCAGGGTGCAGTAATAACACTTGATAAGAAAAGATTAGAGGTGACATTTGATGAGCATCCGCCCTGGCTTGTTTTTGCTGGTACACAAACATGTCTGTCTGTCTATTTGTCTGTTTGTCAAGCTCCTTGTCTATCTGTCTAGCTCTCTGTCTCAGAGAGTCACAAGACTGCGTCATCACGTTTACTCAGATCTTCAAGCAGAGTATAGCACTTTGTCTGGATTTTTTGGGTTATCCTAGGTAATTTACACTATGTATACTTGTATTTATGTGTACCTGTGAGACAGAGATAGACAGAGACAGATTGAAAGAGATAGAGACAGATAGACAGAGACAGATAGACAGAGGTAGACAGAGACAGAGATAGACAGAGACAGATAGACAGAGGTAGACAGAGACAGAGATAGACAGAGATCGACAGACCCAAAACTTGGGATTAACATCACTTTCCTCTTAAAAGAGGAGTGTTAATATGACATTACATCAGTGAATCCTTGGTGTTTGCCGTACTGTTTGCTCTAGCTGGCGCTCAATTTAACTGGCGCTCCCACAAGGTACTAAGTGGTCCCAGATTTTTTTAATATGTGCACACCGAATGTGTTAATTAAGACCCATTCTATGCTGACCAGGCATCTCAGAGCAATTGTGCCAAATTTGGAGGCAGGAAAATTAAAATGTATAGTATATACGTTTGGGGCGCTACGCGTAAGAACGTATATTATCGTTTGGACCGTTTATGGGTTAAACTAGTAGGTTGTTAAGTGAAGAGAGTCTGTATAAACATGTAAATACTTTATTACCACTCTAATTTGTTCAGCTATCAAAACTTTGTGCTCCAGTCCCTGGATCCATTATATACCTCTGTAATGTTGAGGTACAGTTCTTGGACCTATAATGTGCTTCTATAGTGTTGAGGTACAGTCCCTTGACCCATTATGTGCCTCTGTAATATTGAGGTACAGTCCCTGGTCCATCAGTAACAGACCTTGGTACTGTAATACTACAGTGCCTTATTCTGCATGTAAGATGTTACCCTTCATTCATGTTTGTATCTTTAGCATTTGAGATTTTATCCTTAATGTTGTGATAATGATAATAATTTGTTTATGGCCAAAATGGACAGGCAATATGCCATATGTAATATGCTCATGTCCGAGCAAAAGCATTTCTGAAGAATGCAGAATGTGCAAATTAAATTACCAATAATGTATTGTTTACTGTAATTTTTTAACTTAACCATTGTGTAAAATGCATTGTAAACATCAGAGGTATTAATCTGTGGCGTCCACTTGCAGGTCCACTTTCTCTGGGACGAACACATGACCCACATTCTCCACTGGAACCTCGTAGCAAGAGGGTCCGGCGTCTAAGTTCAGAGGAGGACACTCTGGATAAAGCAGAGTTGGCCTACTACACACAGTCTCCAGCATCTCTCTCGTCTCACACATCTCCGTGGCACTCTGATATCGACCATGGTGGGTTGGTGGCTCCCTCTGCAGCCTCAGCGTCCGCAGCAGCAGCAGCCGCGTCTAGCACCTTCCTCCACCCTCACACCCCCCCTCACCACACCTCGCAACACACCCTCGGTACTCGCTCTTCCTCTCTCTCGCTATCTTCTGGCTCGGACACCTGTCTTAAGTCGCATGTCTTCCATATTTACAGTAAAATCAATTTTTTTAGAGTAAGCATCAAAACACTGTTACAGAAATTTTTATCTCATATTGTCAGACCTTTTATAGAAAGTCACTTTAATGTGAAATTTAAGAAAAATTATTTATAAAATTTTTACCATAGTTGCATTCATTGTGGCATGATATATGAAAGCAAGACAGGTGTTGCTCTCTACTTTCCTGTTCTCTGGAACTGACTTTAATCTAGCACTACCTTTAAAACCTTGATATTTCTCGTGCCTTTTTCTAGGTATGATACAGTCTTCCCTTTCTCATCTCTCTGTCTGCATATGAGATCAAATTCAGAGTAATTTAAATGCGACAAGTATATTCTGTACAAGCTAAGATAATATCAGAATTTATTCATAAAATGCACAGCACTTATTTTTTATTGATTATCTGTATAATAAAAAACATTAAAATCCTAAATAATAGGAAATATAATTTCATGGGTGCAAAACATATTCTCTGTTTTGTCACTTTTGTCAAGTTACATTGATTACAGAAGGGGCATTACACCCCCTGCCACTAATAAAGTGACTGACCATGGAAGGGGGGATTACACACCCTGCCACTAATAAAGTAACTGATTGTGGAAGGGGGGATTACACACCCTGCCACTAATAAAGTGAATGACCATGGAAGGGGAATTACGCACCCTTTCTCTAATATAGTGAATGACCATGGAAGGGGGATTACACACCCTTCCTCTAATAAAGTGAATGACCATGGAAGGGGATTACACACCCTGCTTCTAATAAACTGAATGACTGTGGAAAGGGAAATTGCACCCCCTGCCACTGATAAAGTGACTATGACCATACAAAAGAAAGCAGATTTCAAATCTTTCATTTGTGGTAATTACAGTCCTAAGAGGAAGGGGATTACAAACAACATTTTCGATCACACATGGTGTACCATCTTAACACTCTTTAGTTGGCAGTGGAGCGAGATTAAAAAAATATAAGGAATTTCAGTCACTTGAAATATGTCCAGGACTTGGTTGACATGTAGAAAAATGGTCACATCAACTCCAAGTTGAAGGACTGATTACCTCAAAAGCATTTCTGATCTTTGCCATTCTTCTTCACAGTGGACTGAAGAAGCCACTGTATGGCAAAACAGCTCCACAATAAAGATACCCAAATGTTGCACATGTGTCTAATTTATCACCATATTCTTATATACTGTATCAGGAATATGTGAAAGAGTCTAATTCCTCAAAGAATCCTAAACTAAGACACTAAAAATACAATACACTCATCTTGTGAAGGAATATTCTTGTTGACATTTAAACACTCTGCATTTTGTCGATACCTTTTTCAAGAACGCATTTCTATTATTGGCTTGAAGTACAAGTACATGTGAGCTCAGCATTACAGTAGGACATTACATTATTAGTTCTAGAACATTGAGAATGGATTGTATGACTAGAAGTTAGCTTTAACTTAGAGTAAGTTTGCTTGTATCTATAACTGTAAAACTAGGAGGAGTCAGTGACTGTAAGATATGTTTCCAAATGTATTTTCAAGAAACATCTCTTGCTGATAGTATTGCGTCCCATCTAGAAATTAATATTCTCGAGATTAAGTGGCAACATTTTACTCAATAATACTGCACTAATATAATTAAGTTACCATATTTAAGTATTAAAGAAAATAACTTGTTTTAAATAAAGGTTTTACTTTATAAAGATCACTAAGTTCGCTGTGCTATATAAAATATTTCAGCAGATATTTATTACAGATTAAGGTACGTATAACCAAAGTACATTAAACATTGTTATGGCATATACGTATTGAGAATACAACACGTAGTTTTTATCAGCAAATAGAGTGGTACGTAATTAAGAAGACCAATGCTAAATTAAATATTTGCCAATAATGAGAATGTTCTCTACTTCTCTCCCCATTCAACTGTCCTGGTCTTTTGCCACCTCTGAAGTGTCCATGAGAGTTTTCCATTATTTGGTGTTTTAAAAAGTCGTGTGTATTAACGCTCATTTCTGAATTGTTTACATTTTTTGGGACTAATGCAGCTCATGATAAGGTGTACCCATAAATTATACAGATGCTCCTTGCTTTATGATGGTTCGACTTACAATGTTTCAGCTTTACAATGGTGCGATAAAACTGTAAAAAAATTTTGTGTTGTACAGTTCAGTACATTTATTGATAGGATAGACTTGTATTGATTTATTGACTTTTCAACACTGGTATTAGTTAGTTACAGTAATTATCTGTTTATTTACTTATTCAGTGACTTTATTTATTCATGATATATTTGTATTTGACTTAGAGTATTTTCAATTTACGACGGGTTCATCGGAATAGAACCCCATCGCAAGTCGAGGAGCAACTTTTAACATTTTACTACAGTTAAATACTAGTATCGGGCTAGAAACCTCTTCTCCTGTATAAATTACTAACTTTAAAAAGAAAAACTTTCATTTTGGGTGACCCAAAAAGAAAAACATTTGTTTTTTCTTTTTAGGTCACTCCACCTTGGTAAGATACAACCAGTGCACTGAAAAAAAAAATATTTGTATAGGAGGTTCTGCATTTCTTGAATTAACTCAAGCAGTGTAAAAATACAGTAGACCATTGTTTAACATGGTTTTGTTTGGCACGTTTTGGTTATAGCATGATTGAAGAATAGCGGCATATTTTTGTACAACACTTCATGAAATTAACTTAACATGGATCTGTTTGCGGGAGGGGAAAAAATTTGGAGCACGTGTCACCCACGGGATACACTTTGCATGGCTGTGGGTTAGACCATTGAGTCAACGGGGGAGACCTACCGCCCACCCCCGCCATCCTCCACCACCCTCACCACCCTCACCACCCTCACCACCCTCCACGACTCCTACCACTTTGTCCCAGCTGGTTCATACAAGTGTAGAACCATCCTCTTCTAGGAGCTAGCTGTGTTTATTTTTGTTTGTGGATTGAGTTTAGATCTTTTAATTTCCATATGTTAAATCTGCCAAGCAATCATGGCACCCAGTAGGCATACAAGTGTTGCTGAAAGTGGCAAGAAAAGGTTGAAGTGTTTAAGTCTAGGAGTTACGAAGAAAATCGAGATATTAGACAAGCTTAAGAGCAGCTCACATGTGGTGGATATAGTGAGAGTTTATGGCCATAACCCTTTCAGGGTTTCGGCCGTACTAGTACGGCTTACGCACCAGTGTCCATGATGTACTAGTACGCCTAAATTCTAGCACCCTTAAATCTAGTGAGAGAAAGCTGGTAGGCCTACATATGAAAGAATGGGTCTGTGTGGTCAGTGTGTGCAGTATAAAAAATATCCTGGAGCACACAGTGCGTAATGAGAAAAAAAAAACTTTGTGTTTTTGGATTAAAGCAGCGACTTTGCACTGTATTTTCGTATGGTATTTATTGTTGTATTCTAGTTTTCCTGGTCTCATTTTATAGAATGGAAGACATATTACAGAAGTTGAGATGATTCTGACTGGTTTTACAATGAAAACTACCTTGAAATTGAGCTCAAAGTAGCAAAAATTTTTGATTTTTACCAAAGTTCAAAAGTAAACAAATCATGCTATGCATCCAATACACATCAACTGGTGAGTCTAATATTCTTTCACAAGTGTACTGATATTATTTATACCATTTCTACATTAATGCAGTAGTCTGCATAACAGTAAATCTTCTATTGTTTTGCGAGAATAAAAATTCAAAGTGGAAAGCAAAAAAATGTAAGAAGGGCGTGGGGACATGACCGATGAACAGAGGAAATGTTATTTTAGTGCCAGGAATGTCTTCTTGTTTATTCTGGACCCTATTCGGAAATTGGCATCTTTTGAAATTTGTGTGAGATTGGCAAAATTGCTAAATTCTGACCACTGTATTGGATAGTTGAAATTGGTAAATGGGTGGTTTCTTCTACTCATTCGATAGAAAAAATGGAATTCTAGTGAAATAGTTATGATTTTTGTCGACTAGTACGTACACTGGAATTGGCCGAAAATAGGGCTCAAAGTGGGCATAATCGCCGATGCGTAAACGTCGAGACCGCTAACTTTGCGAGAGCATAATTCCGTAAGTTTTCCATCAAATTTCATACTTTTGGTGTCATTATGATTGGGAAAAGATTCTCTATCTTTTCATAAGAAAAAATAATTCTTTTTTTTTTTTGAAAATTGGGGGACCCTGAGAACAAGTCTCGGAGAGGGCCTGGGGACCCTGAAAGGGTTAATGATGCCAAGCCCATGATGACACTCTTCAGGTCACTTGTTCTGTCTAGGCTCGAATATTGCTGCACACTAACAGCACCTTTCAAGGCAGGTGAAATTGCTGACCTAGAAAATGTACAGAGAACTTTCACGTCACGCATAACTGAGATAAAAAACCTCAATTACTGGGAGCACTTGAAGTTCCTGAACCTGTACTCCCTGGAATGCAGGCAGGAGAGATACGTGATTATATACATCTGGAAAATCCTAGAGGGACTAGTACCAAACCTGCACATGAAAATCATTCCCTGTGAAAGTAAAATACTCGGCAGACGATGCAACATCCCCCAATGAAAAGCAGGGGTGTCACTACCACGTTAAGAGACAACACAATAAGTGTCAGGGGCCCCAAGACTGTTCAACTGCCTCCCAGCATGCATAAGGGGGATTACCAATAGACCCCTGGCTCTCTTCAAGCAGGCACTGGACTAGCACCTAAAGTTGGTACCTGACCAGCCGGGCTATGGTTTGTACATTGGATTGCATGCAGCCAGCAGTAACAGCCTGGTTGATCAGGCCCTGATCCACTACGAGGCCTGGTCACAGA